ACATACTAATGGGCCTGTGGGACTGCCTTATGCCGGCTGATGCTCAATCGTGTGGCTATCCTAGACTTCAGGCTAATGGGTCTAAGGAATCACACTCACACACATGGACCTCACATACCATTTAATAAATTGAACTCGGTTTCCAGGAGTGTACTACTAATTATATGTGACTTGCCTATCATACCAGAGTCACAATCCATTGGCATTCACATAAGCAGTAACATGGGTATTCACGGGGTTTTATCCATTCTTGCCCGGCCAAGGCTTAAGGAATTCAACACCGTGATTAAATTATAGATCCAACAACCACTAGAGTCGTCGCATCTTTAACCCGGGACTACTGAGCATAAAGTTTATCTAACGAACTTAATTAAATCATAACTATCATATTAGGTCCTTTACAGGGCCGACAGTACCTACTACTATGCAAAACTAATCATATCGTACTATATGTCAATATCCTTACTTACATATCATGCCAACAAAATCATCCTCTATCTTGTCATGCTACTTCATGTATCACGCATGTTGCTTAGATACTTACATAATCATATTAAGCATAGTAGCATTTTATGATACCATATCATTTGTATTCTTGTAGTCAATATAAAACATACCTACATTATTAATACTCATATCTACTTAGATATTTTTCATTAAGACATTACCAACATATTCATTGTAGCTTAATAAACATAAAACATTCTCAAAGAATTTGAATATTTCTAATAGCATGTTCATTGATCATGAAAATTCATAAGTGACATGATAAACAATAAAAAGTGTCCATGAGGCATAATTATAATCACATTCATACCGTCATAAACAATCATGGCATCCATACATAACAATGACAAACATAAGTCACAAGTAAATTGCAAGCATCACTTGTGTTGCAGGTGAGTACTCTACTTACCTTAAGTAGTCATATATCCCAAATGTAAGCTCCTTACGCTTCATTCAATTCACGCATAATGATTAGGCACTCACCTAATTTTAGCAAATATTTTCTCGTTAATTAGAGCGTTACAAATTCTTTTAAGAGTATTACAAAACTCTAGAGTTGCTAACAAATTCCTAAGAATAGGAAACTATATTGTTTCCTCTTTCATATATTAATCGGAAACTCGTAATTACAATCTCACCCATTGTTTCGAAAAACATGGTTCGAGGTTAAGGAAGACTCTTTGAAATTTAAAAACCTTGTCCATAACTTAATAAAGTAAAACCAAGTGCTTAATTCATGATATAACTATAATTTTCTTAAAAGAAAATTGATCAAACCAAAATATTTAATTTAAAGTCCTTAATTCTTATAGATATAATTTCTTTAAGAAAATCAAATGAGCACCAACTCATAACATGAGTTTTTGTTATCCTTCGATATTGTCAAAAATATAATCTAGCATGAACAATCGAATTTTCAACAAAACCAACCAAATCTCGATTTTATTAAACTTTCCGTCATCGAAATAAACCATTTATCATCAAACATAACAATAAAATTTCATACATACTTATAGATTTTTCAATATCTATAATCTTAATTCTTTAACTATAAGAAAATCCATATATATAACTAATCTTTTTTTATCAAAACATCAACTTCATATTTAATAGCACAAATGTTGATCACAAACAATCTTTTGTAAAAAGACAAATTCGTCGACTTTTATAAAAATATTCGTAATATATTATAGGTAGATCGAAAAATTACAGGACCATATCCAAATTAAAGTAGACTCATAGAGCTTTCTTTAGAGCTATTATAGGCTAGGTTTAGTTCATAAAAAATAGCCCGTAATCCACATTAAATATTCCTATCAGGAAATTGGCATATTTTTACATGAGCTAGTAAATATCATAACTAATTCTAGAAAAATCTTTTTTGAGTGATTTAAAACCCCACTTAAAGCTTATGATGTCTATTTTAAGAGAAAATATCAACTGAGACAAAGAAATATATTAAATAGCTGAAAAAACTGAAACTTCATAGCTGGTCACAGAAGCTTATTGATGATCATTTTATAAAACATATAGCATGCAGCTTTTATATTCAAAACTAATCTTCAATCACATGAACCAACATCCTTTTTAAGAGTTCAACCAACAAGAATCTCAAACCAAAGCCATCAAAATAACCAATTCAACCACAAGAATAAAAATCCTAAATGTTGGAGAATCTTACCCTTAAAAATTAACCGAAAATCCAGTTTTCTAACAACCGAGCTTGTAGCTTTGAAGATGAGGATATGGCTTGTCATAAGTGCATAGATTTAAAATAAAATGTTGATGAAACATAAGAAAAATTTGTATTAGTTGCTGCTCTAATTAATGTTTTTGGGAAAAAAAATTACCCTCAGACGATAATTTCGTCAGGTGATGCGTGAGTTTAGGACATCTAAATCTCCTTAATTGTCATGAGAAAATTATAAATCTCATAATAATCATAAAGCTCACCACAAAATTTCGTAAGAATCCAAGATAGAGTTAAGGAATGTTACAGGTTATACGGGTTGCCACGATTAACACGATTAATAAACAGGTCATGTTTATGTTGACATTTTTAACACGTTTAATAAATAAGTCATGTTTATGTTGATGTTCTCTGACATGATTAAACAGGTTGAACACAAACACGACCTATTAACACGAATTATCATCTTTAGTGCTGAGTGGTTAGCATAAGTTCAGATTTGTTGTCGTTCCACTACTTATTTGTTATGTCATATAAATTTAACGATCTTGCCATATAAAAAAACTTTAACAATTTATGTGATGTTGCAGTTTAATTGTAGAGAAAAAGGGGATAACAAATCTTTGATTTTGTTTAAGAAATTAGAACTTTTCTGTGGTCAGTGAAGCAGTGAGGTATTGGAAAAGTTTGTGGGCAAAACTCAAAAGCACAAAAAATACATTTTTAGTTTCCAAACAAACATTGTAGATGCTGGGAGATTAACAAAACATCCCTATCTAAACAATAATTCTATATTGGATGCTCAAAACCCTAGTCTTTTTGACAAAGAGGAATGAGAGAGAGATAAAAAAAGCTTGAGTGTTGGTTAAAGTTCTGGCTCCGCCTCCTTGCACGTCGTCGGGCTCCCGACCATGAAAATTGGTCCCCAAGCTTGTCTTGTAGAGGGCTTTTCAATGATGGTAGCAGTGTGTTGTGGGGTAGATTGGTTAGGGCAGACGGGCTTCCTTTGGAAATTGGAAACTAGATGTTTGGGAGGTGTTTTCTAACATTGCCAATGTTGGGTGGTTGGATCTTTTTGGAGGTTCGATCCTTGCGGTGGGGGGCTTCCTTTGGTAGGGGTGGTGCCATTTCCAGAGGTTGGCGACAGGGCAAAGGTGAATCATTCGTTGCCATTTGATGGTCTCTTTCTGGCGACTTTGTCACTTGACTCTCGAAGCCTTCTTCCTTCCCTCGTGGTCCTCTCGTCGACTATGTCATTGTTGGAGGCTTGCGCGAGTGATGCTTTGGCTTTTCTTTTTGCTTTGCTTTGTGTTTTGGAATGTAATAAAGGTGTGGCGATGTTATTCTCGCTACTTTTTATTTGTTTTTTTTTTGTAATAATGGTGGTTTTCCCACCGTCCGGTGTTGGTTATGTCTTCCATCCGGTTGAGTGTTTCTCTGACGATGTGGATTGTTTGGTCAAGTTAGAATTTTGTTTATGTCTTGATAGTTATGTCCCCTATGAGTGGGGGTTGGTTTGTTCCTCCAGCGTTCGGAAGCTTATTCTGATGGGAGGGGTTTGTTTCAAATAGAGCATTAGGTGTGCTCGGTCTTAGTATGTCAAGGTTATCTTCCATTCTCAGACCTTAGGTGTACGTTTGTCTCGCTGTCGAGTCATTAGCCTTGTATTGTGTTGTTTGTTTATCTATTTTTAATCAAATACCAGATTCTCTATAAAAAAATACATTTTTAGAAAAAGTGCGCTTGAATAATTGAGGTCGTTCATTGATGAACGAATATTCAATCCTCTAGTGATCCTGATTCTTTAGGGGAAAAAATGACAAATTTTATAAATTCCTCATGAACTTTGTCACTTGTGTCAACATGCTAAATGAACTTTAAAATATGAATGTTATGCCCCTTAAACTTTCTCACTTGTGTCAACATGCCCCTTGAGGTTAACTCCGTTAAGTTTTTTTTTAATAGAAATGCTTATAAATGCCCTCTAAACTTTAAAATGTATATGTTTTGCCCCCCGAACTATGATATGTCCCTAACTTTTCCTCTTCATCTTAATTCTATCAGTTTTTTGAATGAAAATGTTGATATGACCATTAAATTACTAATTATCTATGATATTTGAGATTTATTGAATAGCTTCTCCTCTAAAAATGTTAGTTAAGTACCAATTCTCAAAACATTAGTTGATTAGAGGTAATAAAGAGGGAAAAAATGAGGAGCAAATGTGTATAATGTAATGAATTTTGTTATTTTTTATTTATATTTCACCTGAATAGAAGTGCTAGACAAAAAATATATTAATGCTTTATACATATATAGCTTTTCTAAATCTAAATGCGTTCAGTTCATTTATATTATTATACATTTAAAAAAAATCAACACAAACCTTAAGAAACACATTAACTTAACAAACTCATTAACTTAACAAACTTTAATGGTCAAATATCATAGATAATTAACAATTTAATAGTCATATCAACATTTTGTTCAAAAACTGATAGAATCAAGATTGAGGGAAAAAAGTTGGAGATATATCATAATTCAATGGGCAAAACAATATCAGGGAGTTTATTGACACAAGTGATTATAAGCATTTCCGTTAAAAAAAACTTAACGGAGTTAACCTCAGGGGATATGTTGACATAAGTGATAAAAAGTTTAGGAGCACAACATGTACATTTTAAAGTTCATGAGACATGTTGACACAAGTGACAAAATTGAGGGAAATTTATAAAATGTCAGAAAAAAAAGCCCAAAACGGCGTCGTTAGCGGAGAAACGTACCGAACTTTTTATACCGTTTCCTTTTCGACACTCGAAACAAAACAGAAGCATATTATACAATTCTGAATTCCCCGTGATCGGAGAACCCAAAGCGACACAGTTTGTGGCCTCTCTCCGGCGATTCCCGTCGGTCAAAAATGTCGGCCACGAATCCCGGAGCTCGGAAATCGAGTTCCTATAAAATGAGCGGTAGGGTTTTCGCCTACTCCCTCCTTCTCACCCTCCAATACGGCGCTCAGCCTCTCATCTCCAAGCGCTGCATTAGGTATTTCTACTCCTCATTTCTTATCGAAATTGATTTAGGGTTAGAAAGTAGGAAATCGCAGACAAAGAGATTGGGGATTTTGGAACTTTGCATTTGTTGTTAGAAAATTTTCAATTGTTGTCGCTTGTACAGAGAATATAACCTTTTTGCTAACCTGAATACATTTTTGTTGTTAATCTTTAGTTACATTAGAAACGCAGTTCAAAAATTGCAGAATTATTTCAAGGGCAACAGTGATTATCTTTATTTTAGGCAGCCCTTTCTTTTCTTTTTCTTTTTCTGTCGTTTGATTAGAGTTTAGGTCGTCTTGAATTTTAGTATTGTTATTATTATTATTTTGTAGCTGCCAAGAAATTTTTTGTCTTTTGTATGCATTTTGTTTTTTTTTTGGACTTGGAGTTTTGGGACTTGAATTCTCCACATATGTGGTGGAGTCAGATGCTGAATTACTGCTAGGCTATGGCTTCAACCATGGAAAAAATTAGATTTTGGTACCATATGTTTTATGGAAATTTTGAAAAGGTACGTTGGTACATGTTTAGGTAATACCAAATAATAATCAAAAACTCTTAAAAAATACCATCCGGATGTCTAACACTGTGTTTTTGGAAATTAAAATGTCTTACATGCGCTTTTATTAGTTTCATTTATTTTTCAAAATTACTTTTTAAGTAAATCAAATATTAGCTATTCATGTACTAAATTGAAGGCAAAGAAGGGGTATAGGGTACCTGGGACATTTTTCTTCTTTAAGGTACCTATTTGTTATTAATCATATAAAGGGCATGTGATTAATTTGCTATACTCTTCCTGGCAGGCGAGAAGTTATTGTAACTTCTTCTGTTCTGGCATGTGAGGTTGCAAAGGTAATACTTGAAATCTATGACAATTTTTAATTGGGTTTCAATTCGAATTAGCTTACATAGTTTTGGTGAAAATGCCCCCACCTTGTTATATGATTGTCAGGTTGCGTGTGCGTTGTTTTTCATGGCAAGAGATGGCACTTTGAAGAAAGTATTCAAGGAATGGACTTTGACTGGTGCACTGACTGCATCGGGTCTCCCTGCCGCTATCTATGCATTGCAAAACAGCTTACTGCAGATTTCTTACAAAAATCTTGATTCACTCACTTTCTCAATGTTGAACCAGACAAAAATATTCTTCACCGCACTCTTCACATTTCTTATATTGAGGTATGTTCCAATATGGTTGAACCATGGATTGTTTTGAACTTCTGTCTTCACTGTTATCTGCAGAAGCCATAAAATCAACTTTCCGTTCATTTTGCTTTTGGCATACTGGCACATTGATTAACTACGTCTTTTCAATTTGGAAGCTTGTATTGCCACATATAAACAACTTGTTTCAGCTGTTTATTAGCTGTATGAGCTTATATTAGGTCCATGCTTCTCTTATCGTTTATGCTAAAGTTGACATATTCAATGTGTTATCTGTAGGCAGAAGCAATCAATTCAACAGATAGGGGCCTTATTCTTGTTGATCATTGCAGCTGTTCTTTTAAGCATTGGTGAAGGCTCCAGCAAAGGTTCTAGAAGTGCCAATTCTGATCAAACTTTATTTTATGGTATTGTTCCTGTCTTGGTTGCCTCCGTACTTTCAGGCCTTGCATCTTCCTTGTGCCAGTGGGCCTCTCAGGTTAACAAGAAATTTTACACTCTCCAGTTTCGCAAATTATTTGTTCTTCTCAGTTTCCCCTCCTAACTTTTCTACCCTTTCGTGCTACAGGTGAAGAAACATTCATCGTACTTAATGACTGTAGAGATGTCAATCGTTGGAAGTTTGTGCTTGTTGGCTAGTACCTTCAAGTCTCCAGACGGTGAATCTTTCAAACAATACGGATTCTTCTACGGTTGGACTCCACTAACTTTGGTAATAATCTAAATTTTGGTATTTTCGTCGAGGAGAAAGACAGATGGTGCATATCAGTTTGCTTTTAATGGCCTTTCTATTACTTCAAAGTTCCATCTGTTCAGAACCAAGGAAAGTTTGAATTATGCAGAGGCTTTATTAGTTCTATCTCCTTAAACATTCTCCTTTTCCTCCTTCCAGATCCCTGTTATAATCAATGCCCTTGGTGGAATTCTTGTTGGCCTTGTAACCAGTCATGCTGGCGGCGTTAGAAAGGCAAGTTTGAACAATTGGTAACTCCTAAAATATTTACGTGCTTAAAAAATATATAGCTTTTGGCTATCTAAATTGTTGGCTACTCGTGTTAGCTTAAAAAATGAGCTTAAACCACATGATTTAAAAAGCGAATATGTCACTCACTCTTTGATCTGTTGCATATAGGCATGGATAATTGTAAAGCATCACTTAAGTTTTATTTTTCAAGAAGTCTTTTGTCAAAAATTTACCAAATGGTCTATAGACTAATCACTCGTATGGGAATAGCTGTGAGGATTACTCGTTGCGATCCATTAGTTAATTTCTTAATTGCCATAAAAGTTGTCAAAACTCCTAAAGCATTGGTTTTTTTTTTCTCTGGTCAATTTTTGCAGGGGTTCGTTATTGTTTCAGCACTTCTCGTTACGGCATTGCTGCAGTTCATTTTTGAAGGGAAACCGCCTTCATTATATTGTCTTGTGGCTCTTCCCATCGTGGTTAGCAGCATTTCGATATACCAGAAATATCCATACCAAGTTAAGAAGAAGGAACTTTAAACTCTACGTTTCATTACTAAAGACATTTACACATTTAGCCCTGACTAGCCCTGATTGGTAGCCATTTTTATTTGGTTCAGCTTGTCACAATCTATATAGATGCCATCATGGTAGTAGAGTTTTTCTGGGGGGTAATTTCAAACTTGGTATCTGTAAGGAAATTCTTGCTTTCATCAAATTCATACGCATATTACTCACACACACACACACACACACACACACAAAATCATACGCATATCTAGTTAGTTAACTCTCTGAGCAGATACCAATAGAAATGATAATATCATTTTTGTTCTGGAGAAAAACTACTTGATGTTTTGCTTTTATCTTTGATTGTTCAAAAAAATACTAAGTTAACGCGGTATATGTGTGTAGCGCAGATGCAAAATGTACAAGGAAATATAACAAACTGGGAAAGAACAGAAAAGAAAAGAAATGGAATAGAATGGGGAAAATTAAAATAATAAATAAAAAGGAAGGCAGTAAAAACTGGAAGAACTCCGAGGCAAAAGCTGTGAAAATATAAACGACTAAAAAAAAGGTTGGCCCAATGAAGAAACGACAGGATTTCAATAAAAACGACAACAAGAGGATGCGCGGCAAAACAACAGACTAGGCTATTGATAACAAACCAGGCCAACCAAATAACAGCTGCGCTAACAAAAGCAAAACTACAAATACAAGTTATTATTGAAATGACGACCAAGAAAAATTAAAGGACCAAGAAAAATAAAAGGACAAAGAGATGAAGAAACGATAACATAAAAATAAAGTAAAAATCCAAACAATGAAGATCATTCTCTAGCAAGCAATAGCCACAAATAAATAAATAAAAAAAAATAAAAAAAAGGAGACGAAAAGACAAAACAATACAAACAATAAAGCAATAACAAAAGGGAAAAAAAAAAAGAATAAACGACTAAACCTTAGCAAAAAGAGAAAACGACGACAAAATTTAATAGAAATAGGGGTGACAATTCTTTCGCGGGTTGTATTAGTGGCAGGCTAGGTCAAATTTTGCTGAAATTACCCAATCCTAGCATGAACAAGGTGAGAAATTCCAAAAATGCTTAACTTATGTAAAGACATTAGTTGTCAAAACATTGAGATAAAAATTGCCATTCTAGAGCTATGTATGGTTACACAAGTTTTCTTTAAACGTTTCCTATTTCAAAATTATTTTTGCCAATAATTAACTCCAAATTGTCTTGTGGCTTACAAATATTTAATCACTTTTTACAACTATCATCCCTTCTTTTTTTTTTTTCCTTTCTTTTTCTAGAATACACTTCTCTGGCTATAAAGTATAAACTACTATAATATATAAAATTAAACGTACTACTACATATCAAATTTGTTGTTTGTTGTAAAAACTAACTTGTTCTTCTTAGGAAAATTTGCGCTAAACAATAGTGAAGACAAATTACTCAGTGCAAATTATATGTAAACAGTACTTGTAGGTGCATACGTATTTAGACAAGAGACAAAAGAAGGCTAATTTCCTACCTTGATCATATATGGAGGATTTGCAATAATTATGAGGAAAGACCCCTCATCATTCTTCATATTTTTCAAAGTAGCAATCACTAAGACGTTGTAAATACCGGATCTTTGATATAAGATGATGTTTTATGACCCGTTTAGTTCACTGATTTGAATTTTTAATTCGAGTTGATATATGACTTTATATGAGAGTTTTTTACTGTAGTAAAAAAGTTAGATGTGACTGTTTTTTAGAGTTTTTTACTGTAACAAAACTCAAATTTTAAATTTAAATCGGTGAAATGAACGGTATCAATGATCTCAACTTCTCCTGACAAACTTTTTGAGCCCACTCTTTGCAATAATTGGCCTTTTCTGTGTCTGATGGTGGTGGGATTTCATTATTATTATCATCATCATTATGAGCAAGAGGGTGATTAATAGGATAAAAAATGAGAATACACAAGACCAAGAAAGAGGATAAATGATATAATCATAATACTGTTTCCTATATGATTTCTATCCACGGTTTTTTTCTTTCAATTTTTTCTGTTCAATAGTAGTTGAACAATTGATGGAATTAATATCCCAAATTTCCTTTGTACGTAATGCTTTAAGTTGTTTACAGTTTATGTGAAAAAGAAATTGCAGTACCTTGCATAATAATATTAATGAAGCATTCAAATGACAAATATTAACGAAATAATGGCCTATTTAGTTACAAGATATAATTTTTATGGGCTTATGAGTAGTAGCAAGAGTCATTAAATAAGTCATAAATCATGAGCAAAAACATAAATTTACCTGGTTACAGCTGACAAAGGAGTGAATCTAGTCTTATTTATTATTTGACATATATAGTAATTAGTTTATTAAGATCTAAGATATTATTATAACACAAAAATTTTAGCAGTAAATTACACACTAATTTTAAATATCAAGGTGTTGAATTCAAATTTATAGCTAGATTTTGGGACAAAATAAAATAAAATAAAATAGCAAAAACAAAACCACACATAGAAATTTTTTATTACGAAAATACTAAGACCACGAAATAAAAGAAAAGAAAAACAAGAAATCCTATAGTAAAGTAAGATCCTAAGGATCTCCCACTTTAATAAGAAAAATTGCGAAAATTTCAAATGAAGATGAGGGAAAAAAAAAAAAAAAAAAAAAAAAAAAAAAAAAAAAAAGGAAAAAAAAACAGAGAATAATAAAGGAAGGAGAACATTAGAGCCCGTCTACGTAATTTTTTTTTTTTTTTTTTTAAGATACGCAATAATTTTCACACTCACGAATAAAAAAGTACTAAGCCCTATATCACATCAATTAGCAATAAAAATTAAAATCCTGATATTCCAATTTCCTTATAAAATGACAAAGGTGACATTAACTTCAGTCATAATATTTTTATACCAATTAATATGATATGTGAGTTCTTATTCATTTTTAAAATTATCATGTTAATTAATTAATAAGAGATTGCATTTACTAGTAAAAAATTAACTTTTAAAAATATGCTCTTGTCCCCAATTCTTATTTTGGAAACACATGGTTTTTTAAGGATAAGAAATTAAGGATCGGTTGTTAGTAAACAAAAGAAATTGGTTCCGGCAAGAGTTGCTCGTTCGACAATAGAATCCGTCCCATTCTTGTCCCTTCACCAAAAAAAAAAAAAAAAAAAAAAAAAAAAAAAAAACCAAAGACGTGCTTTTCCGTCTTTCCCCTCCCATCTAAGTTTTGGTTTCCTCTATAGTTTTGAAACCGGGTAAATCTGGAGAAGGGCAACAACTTCTGTAGGTAAGAACTAAAATTAAAGATTTTCATTTGTAGAATTCATGAACCGAGTCTTTTAACTTGCTACCATATACTAAAAAAATAAAGATTAGATTTTGTGTCCTTAACAATGCTCTCTGTCAATTCATCCGACAACATATATTTTTTAAAGTAAACGTTACACACTGCATGACATGTTTAAAAGAGTGAAATTAAAATAAAACATTTTTTTTAAAAATTCTAGGAATAGCACAATCGTATAGTGTTACTATGGTGTTATTCATATTTGTAAAATTTTTTTTTTTTTTTTTGACAAAATGAAAAAAAGCATATATCTCCACTACATGTTGCTCTCTCCTCCCCACATCTCTCTCTTCATTGCCTCTCTCTCTCCCCTCCAGATCTTCTCCTTTTTCACGGCCTCAGTCGCAGGTTGACCCCCACCATTGTGCCGCCCATTGTGAAACTGGAGCTCGCCATCACTGTGGAGGACGTTTGACGACGCAGTAGTATAAATACGAGTTTTGCTTCACCAAACATCGGTAAGCACAAGCATAAAAGATAAAATTACTATATTAATTAAAGGGGGATTAATTAAGAATAAAATGTAAAAATTTAAATTCTTGCACTTTTAAAAATAAATTCAGTAATCTAAAAAGCCTTGGGCTATTATCTTGAGATATTTAGGTAATATATCATAATTTTTAAGGTTGGATTGATTTTTACCACGGGTACTAAAATTATTACAAAATATACCACAATGATATCATTTAAATTTTGTGTTTTGATCAAAATTATACTTATACTTTTGTGTATTGGTGTCAGTATTTTAGATTTTGTATGACGTGATTTTTCATGTATATATTTGTGATTTTTATGAATTTTATAATATTTAAGTATTTTTAACTGTGACATTTTCTGTAATAATTTATATTCCTGACATATTTGAGATAAATTTATTTTAAAACTCAAATTCTTTTGTTATAATGTTTTTTCTTTTTTATAAGAATTTAAATTTAACTTTTTATTATAATAATTTTTCTCACATAAAAATTTGAGTTGTGAAAAAAACACATGAGTGATCAAGTGTGAGTAAGCATCATTAAACTCTTTCACGAGATGTAATAACATATGAAAGAGAAGAAGTTACGGTACTAACCTTGTGGCTTGTAGGGATAATCCATCTTTCATACGACATTTTATTTATGGGCTTTCTGGGACCATCAAATCTGCAGACAAAGATAAATCACCATTACTATTAAGATCATTTTGACCGTAAAGGCTCCCAAGAAAATATTTTAAAAAGAAAAGCGCAGTGTTTTTTTGTTTTTGGTTTTTTTTTTCCCTTCGTTAACAAGGAAAAGAGAAACGACAATAAAAAATGAAAGTACTCCATGTCACATGGCAAATCTTCGTGAATAAAAGGAGGATGAATTATAAAAATATGTACAAAATCTCTGATTGCTAAGATAGTCGCAGATCTAACTCCAAAACAATAATGGACATCAAGACAAACATGAGTGCTTTGAACTAAAAATAAGAATGAAATTCCTATAACAATCTACTGAATTGAGACTTTTATTGCTTGTGATCTGTAACGGGACTGTAAATATTTACAAAATATATACATCTGGAAACAAAGTCAATTAACCTTTCAAATCAAGAGTGAAGAATTAATATTATTATGTTGGGAAATAGTAGAAAATAGGTCAATATGAAAAGCTTAAGAAAGTATATAGGTCAATTTTTAGTTATAAAAATTAATAGGCCATAACTTGTCAAATTATGGTTTATAACCAGATAAGTTATGGACAAACTTGTTAAGTTATGGATCATAACTAGACTAGTTATGGACAAAAATTGTGAATTATGGATAATAACTTGTCAAGTTATGGTTCATAACCAGACAAGTTATGGTCGAAAACAGAAGACATGTGGTGGAGGTGAAAAAATAGGAGGTGGCGGCGAGTGGATAGGTGGTGGATGTGAAAAAACAGGAGGTGGAGGTGAGTGGAGAGGTGGCGGAGGAGAGCTAATTGGTGGTGGTGGAGGTGAGTAGACAGGCGGGGAGGAGGGTTGATTGGTGGTGGAGGTGAGAAGACAAGTGGGGGGGGAGAGTTAATTGGTGGTGGTGGTGGTGAGAAAACAGGTGGAGGTGAAGATTAGACTGGTGGAGAGGTGTAAGTCTAGAGAAACTCTCTAGAATGACCCCACAGAAGCAATTTCTGTCAACAGGCCTAACTCAACTGGAAGATACCCGGCGATGTCAACATGGTTGATGTCAATACCGGCAACAACTTCTAGTGTTGGTTCGTCAAGAGCAGGAGCACAGAAAATTCCATTATAGGAATAGACATCAGTGCCAACCCAACCCCCTGTTAGGTTTAGTCGGTCCGAGTAGATAGCTTTCTTCCATGCTTGAAGCGCAATGTATGCCCGTTTGAGCCTGGATTATCTTTTGATATTGTAATGTATGTGCCATGCATTTCTCTTTTGATATTGTAACTAATTAAGATTATGCTTCACTTTGTTAAATTGTATTAACTAAGAACTTACTTGACTTGACAGATGATGGATGTTATATATATGCGAATCTACTAGTTTTGGTGTATGACTATATTTTGAGATTATATATGCAATGATATATTAGTTCATTTTTATTATTGATAAGGGACAAAGTGATCATTTTACTTGATACATATTATGATAGATGCTAAAAGTGATCATATTTAAGCTTGTGATAATTTATTATTACATAAAAAAATCAAATATTATTTTTTTTACCATTGAAATATAGTTTTTAAATTTTATCTTTCAAATAAAAAGTTTTTTTCAATAATTAAATTACTTTTTTACTATTTTAATTAATTAAATATTGAATTATTTAAGATTATTAATTAAGGGTATTTTTGTTAAAATACAATTTACTTCCATTCCATTTCGCTGTCAATCAAATAGCATAATCCTCATTCAGATATTAATTTTATAACTCCAACTAAATTAAAAAATTAATTTATGATTTTAACACATTCCAATTTCATTTCATTACCATTTTTATTATTATTCTCATTACCTTTCTCATTACCATTCTAAAACTAAACGCAACGTTATTGAACAGAAGTAACGGAAGATATTCAAAAGAAAAGCGCTTTCAAACTACATTTATAATGAAAAGCGTTGCATTCTAAATCAATACATGCACATTCTCCCGTTACCAAAAAAAGTCAACATGTAACTTCAGGAAAAAGGAAAAAAAAGAAAAAAAAGACTCAATTGAATTGTTGCACCCGGAACTGTTTAGTTTCTGCATAATAGATCTTAAACTTTTAAGGTTTATTCTTTTAGAGTTTAACTTGAGTATAATTCTTGAGTTGAATTTGAGTTAGCTTGTTCTTTTAGAGTTTAACTTGAGTATAATTTTTGAGTTGAATTTGAGTTATAACTTGAGTTGAACTTGTAACTTGAGTTTGTGTTTAGTTGTGTACATTTAAGTTATGGTTTCAGATAAGAATCTTTTTGAGTTTGTGTTTGAGTGAGTCAAAACTTGAATTTGTATTTAGATAGTATTTTAATAAAAACTCAATGCTGATGAAAAATTTAATATGGTATATGGGTCGGGTTTTATTCGTATTTTCGTTGTCAATGCATAGAAAAAAAAATCATCTCAATCAAAATTAAAACGAAAAAGTTATAGCATTTTTAAGAATAGAAAAAATACTGTTTATTAATTTGAGTTCGAGTTTCTGAACTCGAGTTGAAGGAAAAACTTGAACTCGAGTTTAAACTTAAAAGAACATGAACTCGAATAAAGTTGTAACTCGAGTTGCCTTTTTTTGAGTTTTTCACTCAAAAGAACACGCCCAAAACTTGACTTGAACTTGTAACTTGAGTTTGTGTTTGGTTGTGTACATTTGAGTTATGGTTTGAGATAAGAATCTTTTTGAGTTTGTGTTTGAGTGAATCAAAACTTGAATTTGTATTTAGATAGTATTTTAATAAAAACTCAATGCTGATGAAAAATTTTAATAGGGTATATGGGTCGGGTTTTATTCGTATTTTCGTTGTCAATGCATAGAAAAAAAAATCATCTCAATCAGAATTAAAACGAAAAAGTTATAGCATTTTTAAGAATAGAAAAAATATTGTTTATTAATTTGAGTTCGAGTTTCTGAACTCGAGTTGAAAAGAAAACTTGAACTCGAGTTTTAATCCTAAACTCGAGTTTAAACTTAAAAGAACATGAACTCGAATAAAGTTGTAACTCGAGTTGCATTTTTTTGAGTTTTTCACTCAAAAGAACAAACCCTTAATTTTGATAAATTATACCTGAATTTTTAATCAGTTACAATTGAAGTCCAATAATTTATTACGTTATCAAATTGATTGTTCAAAATACAAGATTTTCACATGACACGATTTAAAAAATAACGATCTTTACCTTTCTTTCATATACGAATCTCGTGTCTTAAATCGTTAATTTGATAACATTTATTCGTTATTAGACCTCAATTATAACTGATTCTAAAATTCTGGGTGCAATTTGCTAAAATAAAAGGTTCAGGATGCATTACACAAAAAGTGCAACGGTGCAATTTATATAGAGATACAGATATACATTTATGGCCACGCAATTCAATGGTACCATACTCATATACGTGGCTGATAATGAATATTAATTACGGTACCTCAACAACAGTACCTAGTCATTCTCTGAGATGACACTTAAAATCATAACACAGTTTACTGCTATGAGAAAGAGAATGAACTTAAATGAGCATTCACCAACCATCTCATGGGAATTTCAATAGCAGCCACAGACTCACTTCTCACACATTTATTTTAGACCCTGATCTTTTTTTCTCATGGATTTGTACTCAACAATATGAGGTGGGCACTCACAGAATTAACATATCACAACAAAGACATAACATAACATAGCATGACATATCTCAAGCAAAAGACCAGTCGTCATGAAGAAGGCTCTGAATCGGCCTCAAAGCCCCGGAAGTGATTTCGATGGCACCGATCAAGTACATGCGCACAGTATCGTTTTGCCCTCCAAGTTCATCACCACTATTTGTGATAGCTTGGAAAGAAAAGAACCCTCCTGGTAAAACTAGAATACAAAATAAAACTAGTTCATTATCTATATCGACAATGGAGTTTTCTGCATAAAATATTAACCATCAGTGAACTTTTCAATTATTGTTCTTGTCTTTGTTTTTGTTCCTCTTCAGGTTTATCACCTCTCAAATCCCTAAAGACTTGTCCATTCAAGTTGAAGAAGTCACCTTCAATGTTCACAAGGTAACAAGAAGTAAAAAAGCAGACATGCTTCAGTACTCTTACAAACTTTCTTTGCTTGTCCCGGAAAGTCAAACTTCTTTGTTCAATGAATTGTTTCAATCACGAATTAAAAGCAATAAGAACAGAAAAAAACTAAACATTTACGTATGTTCATAAGAATCGTAACAAAACAATGAAGACTGTCAAAGTTAAATAATAGTCACAGGCTTTTTAATCGAGATGATATATTATAGTTAGTACAGAAGTCCTGAAAATATGCAATCAATATCTCAACTCATCACGTCACAACGCACAAACCACATGATCATGATCAGAGAATTTGTCACTTCGCCATACCTAAATTCATAACTCTAAAATAGTTCACATTTTGTAAGTCAAAAAAAAAAAAAAAAAAAAAAAAAAAAAAAAAACCACAAAAAAAAAAAAAGGAAAATAAACAAAAAAAAAAAAAAAAAAAAAAAAAAAAAAAAAAGACCTGAACAAACACATATGGATAGCTCACATACAATAAGTTCGTGAAGAGCCATTTCTCCTAATTTGGTCTTCTCCTGAATCAGTTTCCATTGGTATCAAAATGTGGCTACATGCATCGAGTAGATGCTCAGCAGTCGAACTCAAGTTATGACTGTGACATCAAGCTTGAAGATTTCCCAGGTGGATCAGAAACCTTTGAAATCATTCTGAAGTTTTGTTATGGTTTCCCAATAGACTTTAGTTCTAAGAACATAGCACCGCTAAGATGTGCAGCAGAATATCTAGACATGACCGAAGAACTCGATGATGGAAATCTTATTAGCAAGACTGAAGCATTCCTCACATTTGTTGTCCTCTCTTCCTGGAAAGACACTATCACTGTGCTCAAATCCTGCGAAGATCTATCTCCGTGGGTTGAGAATCTCCAAATTGTCAGAAGATGCTGCGACTCAATCGCCTGGAAAGCTTCAAGAGAAACCACAACTGCAAATGCAACCGATGAAGAAGGCTGGTGGTTTCATGAAATAGCTACCCTTCGTATTGATCATTTTATGAGGATTGTGACGACAATTAGAGCAAAAGGTGCAAGACCAGAAATCATAGGCAAATGTATCATGCACTATGCAGAAAGATGGTTACCAGGAATAGATGTGGAGTTAGAAGGACTGAGAGGATATGGGCATGGAAAAAATGAACTGCAATTCAGTGTTTTGAGCAGGAGCAAAGAGGAAGTGGGTAGTGGCCATGGCAAGGAGCAAAAAGAGATCATCGAAATCCTAGTTAGCTTACTTCCTCCTCAACAAGAAGCCGTTTCTTGTAAATTCTTGCTGCAGATGTTAAAGATGGCCAACCTGTACTCTGCATCGCCGGCTTTGATTTCCGAACTCGAGAAAAGAGTTGGGATGACTCTGGAAGATGCCAATGTGAATGATCTTCTGATTCCCAGATACAAAAATGCAGATCAAGGGAAACTTATGAAGTGAGTATCACCTATCTAATTTGACTCTCCAAAAAGAAGTTTGTTTGTTGAAGAGGTTGGCATGATGATCAACCTCACCAACTTGCACCCCTTGTTAATTATCATTGTGATTGGAACAGTTCTCCTGAAGAACACACAATGTACGACACAGATTTGGTACAACGGGTTGTGGAGTACTTCTTGATGCTTGAACAGCAGCAACTACAGCAAGAGACAGAAAATATCAACATAAGTAAGCTCTTAGACAGCTACCTGGCAGAGATTGCACGAGACCCAAATCTCTCCATAACCAAGTTTCAAGTCTTAGCTGAATTACTGCCAGAAAATGCTCGAACGAGTCATGATGGTCTTTATAGAGCTATTGACACCTACCTCAAGGTCACTTCTGCCTTCTCAGTTCTCACTACACTTGCTTGTTTCTAATAACTTCTTTTCTTTTACTTTTTTTTTTTTTTCCTTTGGGGACTCGTACAGAATTTCTTAACTTAGAAAACATTTTCCTTTTTTAGACACATCCTACACTGCCTGAGCATGACCGAAGAAGGCTATGCAAAATAATGAACTGCAATAAACTCTCGCTCGATGCATGTTCCCATGCTGCACAAAATGATCGCTTGCCTCTAAGAATCATTGTCCAGGTAAATGGTTTCCAAAGACTACATATATTTTCTTCATTATGTCAGCGTTTACATCATCCATGAGCTAAACTATATTTTTAATGAAACTGCTCATGCTGTTAACCGGTTTAAAAAGTTAGAACTTTATAATAAACATGCCCTTATGAAAGTTTGTCCCCCTTTTCTGAACAAACATGTGCAGGTTCTGTTTTCTGAACAACTAAAAATGCGGACAACAATGCAACCAGCACCAAATGGCAATAACTCAGAACAAGAGGGAAACCAGTCAGCTACAGACATGGAGATCAAGATTCTCAAAGCAGAACTTGAGAATGTAAAGCTCAAGATGGCGGAGCTGCACAGTGACTATTCCGAGCTGCAACAAGAGTATGACAGGATAGGCAACAAACACAAAAATACACCGCGTTGGAGTATCAGTTGGCGAAAGATCAAGAAGTCTTTTCATACAAAAGTTGATGGGGATGACGATATTGAAGAAGAACCAGAAGGACAACAAAGACTTAACTCGGTTAGCAAAAGAAACAGCTTCCTACGAAGGCTATCCATCGCCTGAATCCACTGAGCAACAAAAATCTTGCAGCTCAAGTCCCTATCCCCGCATCAAGTGCTCACAAGAAACATCTTTGTCTCTCTATCTTTCGCTACTCTAGTTTCTTTACACAAAAAACCTTTCTTTTTCATTTTCCCACCTAGAATATAATCCCATAATCTGTATTTTGCTTAGTCAATGTTTGGTAATTCAAATGGACGCAGAACATATATATACACGATTAAAGGATTGCCAGTAAGTTGTAACAAGGAAAAAAGTTTCCCTCTTTTTTTTTAGTATTTGCAGCAACAATGTAATTCTATCCAGTAAACATTCCAAGCTTTTTCAAGAACTAGGCATAAAATTATGAGCAAAACATATCGAATAAAATGCAATAATTACTAAACCCCTTTCTTCATTCATCAAAAGCCATTAAAATGATTAAAATCTTTTCTCACAAATCTACCACCACGGGTTATTGCATTCCAACAAAATTCACTATATCTCACTTCTCACCTAGACGAAGCCTTTCCAAGGCCTAAATAAATAGAAATCAACTTCAAAATCTCCAAACAAATTACCAGATTTTCTTGCCTCATTAATCTACCGAGCACTGACAGAAGCAGGCCTCATACTGCTCCAAGGAAATTTGGCTCCGCCATCGCTGCGACCAAACGAAGCTCTCTCGGGCTTAGCGTTCCGAGGCTCTCTCCCGTCGAGCCAATGCCTCTTCGACTCGCCTTCCTCGACGACGCTCGGCTTTGCCTGCTTCTTGTTCGCCGCCATCTTCTTCTCCTCCTCGATTACTCTGATCGGGAACAGATCCGGCGAAATGGAGAGCGGATTCTTGAGAGTGACGTAGGCCTTCTTGTAGTCGGGCCTGGCCATGAGCAATCCGCCGCGCTTCTTCTTCTTGCCCTCCATGTTTAGGGTTTGGACCTTCTCGACCTCGAAGCCGTAGAGAGACTCGAGGACGCGCTTGATCTCAATCTTGGATGCGGACGGGATGGTCTTGAGGGAGATTTCTGTGATGTTTGTGAAGGTTTTCGGCATCAGAAGCTTTATTGGAAGGTTCGCGAAGTTCACCACTCTTCTTCCCAGTCTGCTTCCCATTTTTCTCTGCTTCTTTCGGAGTCTTCGTTCTCTGGTAATGTTTATATGTTGTTTTTCAGCTTCTCTGCGAGCAGGTTTTGTGCTTTGCTAGTGACGGGGAAATGCAATGGGCCGTGATGGGCTATTTGAAGAAAAGGGCAGCCCAGCACAATTTTATTAATGGGCATTTAAGTGAAGATAATTCGACATTTTAGAGAAATACCACATTTTGGAATGAATATTTCGCGCTTTAAAGGGAACCACAAGTTAAGTTTTAAACTTGGATTAACATATATTAAGGGCATAAATTTTTACAGAGAATACCCCAATCACATCACATTATATTTAAAATATCAAGTATACTCTTGGATGTCGGTAGGTCTCCGGCCACGATACCAGTATCCAACTAAGATACACGCCGGTATCCAGCCACAATACCGAAATACCCAATGGTATCTGGTGAACAACCACCAATACTGACGGCAGTAGTCGCCGACAGTTACCAACTACCTGTGCCAACCGAGTCTTCGGTATCTTACAAGATATTGATGGGTATCCGCCAAAATACTAGTTATCAATCGGTAACCACCGAGTTACCAATTGGTAATCACTGAGTCACCAGCTGATAACTGCCAAAAATTGTCTAGAAACCATCGTTATTAGCGGCTGCCAACCAAAAAACCAATTCACAAAATATATATATATATATATATACAAAAATCACATTCCATATCAGAAAAAAATGTAAATGATGAAAAAACAATAACGGATCTTGAACGCGCGGCCATGAGAGAGATCTTCAGCAGGTCTTCGGCCCTTGGCGCGTGGTGTTGTATTTTTGGTTCATTGCAGATCTGGAGGCGACTGAGCAAATGCGGCAAATCTCCACGGCAAAGTGGATTGGCGAAGCATCTCCCAACAGAGGAAGAGGCAGAGGTGGGAAGCTTCGCGTCAAGCTCCTTAGCGTTGAACTCTACTGAGAAAACATGGTAGCAAGGATGGATCTGGTTCACAATGTTTGCATATTCTTCGTCAGAGGCACAGGACGGATGTCAAAGATCCATGGTGGCCAGTGAGGAGTTCGAAGATCCATGGCAAAGCAATAAGGAGATCGGGAGAACTCCTTGGCTTCGAGCTCCTACAAGCAACCTCCATGGCGGCGGCCAATAAGCACGAGGAAAAAGGAGATATTTGAAAAGGAGAAGAAGAGGAGAAAAGAAAAAAAAAAAAAAAAAAAAAAAAAAAAAAAAAAAAAAAAAAAAAAAAAAAACTTGGGGAAAAAAAGCGGGG